ATCAGGGCTGGCCAGATAGCTCAGTGGACTAAAGCGCCTGCTTAGGCAGAGCGCAGGGGCCGGGGTTCAACCCCCAGCACCACAAGCCATGCTGAGCCCACCCCGGGGGCGCGCGGAGATCGCGATGGAGACTGGGCGTGGTGGCGCGCGCTTGTAATCCCAGCTCCTGGGAGGCAGAAAACAGGAGAATCACTATGAGTCTGATCTACATAGTGAAACCCTGTATACCCTGTACTAAATACATTTTTAAAAAATTAAGCTTTAATGTAGGATCAAGAAATGAAATGGGCCAGAAAGATCCGTTTCAAAGGACAAATAAAGGCAGAGATGAAATATTAACACCCTGAGCCATTTCCTCCTCCTCCTCCTCTCCCTCTTTGTTCTCCTCTTCTTCTCTTCTTCCTCCTCTTCCCCATCCTCTCCCTCCTCCTCCTTTTCATCAGCTGATGTTAGCTGCAATCTTCGATTTAGGTCTGTGGCCAAGTCAAGAAATTTGCTGAGCTGCACCAAGCCTATCTGCTCATTCCGCAACACAGTCATTGGCTCCTCAAGCTTTTCCAAAGTGGCCCAGTGTATCGCCGCAGGGGTGTCTGGGAGGGTGCAGAGAGAAGGCACCCGTGTCCTCCGAAGTCAGAATGAAGAAAGAGAGTGCAGTTCACGAAGTGTGGGTGACCACAGTTTGGATAAAGTACCAAAATCCTAAATGCTAACTGGAAACATTTGAAGTTTATGAAAGTGTAGGAATCCTGCTTTAATTTTTAAAAAATTGAACTATTTTTGTTGCCTCAAAAAATAAAAGCACACAAGTGACCTAGGCCTCCACACAAGTGACCTTACCCTACCACACAAGTGACCTTACCCTACCAGAAAGGTTCGGGTAGCAGGGACTTAGACAATTTGTAAACTTCACTTCTCTGTCTTGAAGGTGACAGGTGGCTTTTCTGAGGGGGGTAATTTTTTTTGTTTGATCTTCTTTTATTCCTTTTTTTTATCTTATAAGTTGAAGTTTAATAATTACAAGATGATGAAAAAAGATTCCCACAGTACTCCTGAGCTTCACCCCCAGAAGTGGGGCAGAGAATGTGCCACACGGGTGTATAAGTCCCCACCTCACCCTTGGGATAACGTGGAGCTCTGCTGTTGGGACAGCTGAGGAGGGTTTCCCTGTGGATTTCTTTATTTTTCTTTGCTGCAAAAATCAATGTAGAGGTCCCTTTTGAGCCAGCTCTTCTCCCTCTTGCTGTTCTCCCGGAAGAACTGAAGAATTCATGTCACGCAGGATATGCGCACCCACCCTTGTCGCTGCACAGTCTGCCAAGCTGAACCTTGGAAGCAAACCAGATGCCCATGAGCTGAGGGATGGATAAAAAAGATGTGGCATTTTATACAATGGAGTATTACTCAGCTACAAAGAAAGATAAGGGTGAGGCTTTTATAGGTAAATGGATGCAAGTAGAGACCATACTGTAAGTGGAAGAAACCAGACCCACGTGTACAAACATCGTATTGTCTGCCTAGTGTGAGAAACCGAAAGAGTAAATAAGGTGCAAAGTGTACAGTAGATACAGTGAAAGGAAAAAACTGCTCAAAAAGAAAGAACAGCCAGGATGGGAAAAAGGAGAAAAGAAGAAAGGGGAAATATATATGTATTAGCTACGGTAATTGCAGTACTAATTTCTATTAATTTATTAAAAGAAGCAATTAGTGCTTATATTGTTTGATCAATTTCTCATGCCTGTATCTGGTAATCTGAGCAACTACTTTGAAGATAACAATGTGTAATGTAATAGCCACTGTTAATTTCCTATCATTTTGTTCTGAAATTCTGTATTGTTTTTTCTTCCTTTAAAAGAAAAAAGAGATAAAATTAAAAATCTGAAGTGACAAAGCTGTAATGTGAAAAAAAATCACATTTTTTTATTACTCTAAGCTTGGAAACCAGAAGCCACAGTATAAATCCTATGTTTTAAAAAGTAATTGAAATGTTATTAAGGCAAAATTTAATTACAGTTCTTCTGATGTCTTCCATATTTTAAGAAAACCTTGGTAAGTCAGATAGGTACTTACTTCTACTGCTGTAAAAATAATTGGATTGAAGTTAAATCCTGCCCATATTTGAAAGCTTAAGATATGAACAGAGATGAGTTCTTGGGATGAGAGTTCCTACGCAAAAAGTAGTCTAGCAACAAGCGAGTGCTTTACTTACTTGAAATAGCTTAAGTTTGCCAAGGAAATCTTCACGTGTGTATATTTACTTTATTAGGTTTCCATTTTACTTTACTGGCTGTTGAAGTTATAAATCTAAGGACTAAAAGTGATTTAAAAAAGAATAAGGGATCATAATACATTACAGTAGAGAAGAGTTTAAAAAGTAATAGAAGCAAGAAAAATGGTAAATAAGGTAAAGGGGAAATTCAGTAAGTACAAAAGCAAAGGCAGTGCAAATCATTAAAAATTAAATATTTTCTTCGTCACTGCTGTTTCCTGACGTCTTCTTTCACTTTGGCTGTCACCAGATGCTCTTCCTGAATATCATTTTGTCCAACAACCACAATTAGGTGTCAGTGACAGCCGAGGGGAGAACGGTGGGTCACCTTTCGCAGGGGCATTGCACGGGCCTGATGGCTGAATAACGCCTTTTTGAAGGTGTTTATTAATTTTAACTGGAAAAAAATTTAACTGGATGTAACTGCATCGTTGTAGGTAGAAATTTTAAACAGGCTGGTCCGTCCTCTCAAACACGGGTGTTAAAATCCTAACTGAATGCGTACACTCTAAATCACTTTCTTTTGAGACAACAGTTTTGTGCTTCCAACAGATCGCGTTGCATTGCGGTATGCATTTTCATACTTTCCTTGTACTATTTGAGGACAACAACCAGAAATTGATGGGATGATGCTGAAATGGATGAGTTTCCACTGGGTAGGCTCTCCTCCCCTACGTGAAGAAAAACAAGTATTTTATTATAAGTTTTTTGTTTCTATAAAAATGATCACATAACATTTATAGCATGTGCTGTGAGTTGGTGCAAGTGATAAAAAGAAATAGCAATACAAGGAGAAGGGTCAAATTCTCCTGGCCCTTAGTTTAAATTCTCTGCCTTTCCTTCCACCATCACTGTGAGACAGTCCAGTACGACCAAGCCCAGTTCCTCGGCTGGGAGGCTTCCTCGCCGCCTGCTGTCTGTGCCTCCACCTGCTTCCGCCTTCTCTCCTGCATCCGTCCTCCAGTGGTTTTATCTTTTTGGAAGCTTTCAGAGAGTCCTCATCACTGACACTTTCAAGGCCCTAAGTCTTCATGCCTTTTCGATACGGTTTATCCATTGCATATCTCTATTTCTCTTCAGAAAGTGTCTGCTGCGGCAGGGTGATTTTTCTCTCTTGTCAGAATATGCCGTTAGGGTATCGGCATTTTCCGCGCAGGATGCCCTTCCCTTTCTCCGCTGCCTGCTGGATTCTCGTGTGGCCTCCCAAGGCCGTGCTCCTGGCCCATAAGCTCGCAGAGGCCCCTTGGATGGCCCCAGTCTCTCAGGACTCTTCTCGGCCAGAGGCCTGGCGCGCTGTGCACTTGCGCTGGCCCTAATTGTGCTGCAGCGTGGAAGCCAGGCTTCCCCGGGAGCAGACCCACTTTCTCCTCCGCCCTCACCCTCCACGTGCGCGGACCGCGTCTTGCACCTTCGTGGTGGCAACTACTCGAGCTTCTCATGAACGACCAGGGGAGGTGTTCGTTATCACGCTGCCTGCACTGGCTTCGTTATTCCAGACCTGAGTGCTTTTCATCTTGTTCGTTTTCTAGAGACCGTAAGTATTTTGTCTGTTACTTTTCTCTGCAGTTAATCTGGAGCCGAGTTAGAGCCTGACTGAGTATGCTACACTTAGAAATGAAAAGAATAGATATTACTCAATATATGTAAATTTACACTGACATGTCCTTTGGAAATGTTCAGGACTTAAATGGATAATTTAAGTCTTGTTTGCCTTATGAAGGAAAGTTACTCTGAGCTTTGTCAAGACTAGACCGTACATTTCTTCATTCGTTTTGGCCATGTCTAAATATTTCTAGTGCTCTGGGCGCAAAAACCATCTAAAAACAAAACAGCACTTTAATTATTTGAATGTATTTAATTTTTCCAAAGTAGACTTCAGGTGTGTATATTTGTTTTTAAAGTCAGTGCTAGAAAAATCTGTGGTAAGATTTGTGCTTCTGTAAAATAGGTTCAAAGAAGCATAAGGCCCTCCCAAGGTCTCCTGTGTGAGTACTTAATTTTAATCTACAATGCTAATTTGCTACCATTACTTGTTATACTTGAAGATCAGAATTAGAAGGCAGCTGAGGCTCAAAATCTTAAGCAAGTCAGAGAAATGGCCTGAGCGTGTACACACTTACCGCCACACTATTCAACGTGGAAGCACACATACACACATTCACTGGGCGCAGCGCAAGCATTTTTGCTCGGCAGACCCACCCTAAAGGGGACTTTTAGAAGAGCAGGAGCCTTAGTTTTCTAGCAACCACTGCGGGCCCTTGCCGGGTCTCACGCTCACCTACAAGCCACAGAGCAAATGGAACCGCAAGTGTTGGAAACAGCAATTAGAAAAGGAATATCTTTTCGATTTCCCTGAAATGAGAAGTAGTAATTGGCCGCCATCGCTTCCCCGTAGACCAGGATCATTCTCACCTACAAACTCTGAAGAGTGCTGAACGCACTAAAAAAAAAAGTAAAAGCAAATGTACCGCGCTGAAGCTAGTACACCAGCTGGGCATGTCTGAAAAGGCAAGAGAGCGGGCAAGCAGACATTTGTTTAATGTTTAATGGGTTGCATCAACTTAAAAATTTCTTAATCGAAGAGCAATGTTTATTTTTTTAAATGGAAATAAGAACTGACCCAACTGGTGTCACCGAGCAGTGTGTCTGATTGGTCGTCACGTCCTGTCATAATGCTTAACCGGCCAAGGAGACCTTCATTCTAGATTGACTTCTGGCCTGTATGTGTATTCTCACTTTCAGAATAGTGACTGGTTAATAAATTTTCATAGCAGAAGGAATCACTTGCCAATACATTTTTAACTCTTCCTTTGCTATGTGGAAAGCTAAGTCAGTTTTTACAAGGGAGAAAAAATATGTCCATTCCGAAACTCTTCCCACACCATCAGCTGGCCTTTGTGCACTGCGCAGACTGCTTCAGAGCGCCGGCAGCGGCTGTCAGCAGCCTGAGCTTCTCAGCTGCCCACCACCTTGGATACATTGGTGCCACTTGGAAATGGCTGTCATTCTGTAAAAGTTCCTTTCATCAGGTTGACAATTCAGTAGGAAGTAACTGTGCCATAGGAAATCAGTGTTTTCCGTGTATTCTGATTACAGCACTCACTTAAACAATCTGGCCCCGTGACTATTGATACCTTGACGTCCTTCCAAGTAGCTGTTTTATTTTGACTGAAATAAAGACTCGCTGCTCCAGAGCTAGTCACCAACCAAGCTGCAGGATCTTCATGGGAAAAACGCCACCGTAAAACTTTCAGAGAGTATTTTGTGGTATAACAGCCAAAATTCTAAAAGCAAATAGAAATTGGTGTAACAACCGATGTTTAACCCCAGTGTACAACAGTAAACTGAGCTAGCCTCTCTCTCTCTTTTTTTTTAAAAAAGCTGACGCAAGCTGGACAGGGAGGTGTTGGGGTGAGGTGGTAATGTTGATTGGCTTGTCGCATTCACTCCCACTGGTCTTTAAGTCACTGTCTAGATCTCCAAAATTGCAAAAAAGTCAGCTCCGTGACAGGGTCTGCCATTCCAAACAAGTCAGGAAAGACGGCCCAGGCCTGGATAAATCAGTAAGGTACAGCTGTTTCTACCCAATGTTTCCAGTGTTACAGTAGTGTTTTCATTCGCCTTTTTATTGTGCTGATCATTTGTTCATTAAAAATTAAAATGTTTAAAGATACTATTTAGGTAAAAATGTTTTCTCATTTTGGAAAAGATTAACTCAGCATAATGGCAAGTATTGAAATTATTTACCCAGATCCTGATTGGAGTTTTCTTTCACTGAGAATTTGAGGTCTGAGCACAGGACAGTGGGTGGCGGGGAGAGGAAATACTGTGAGGGGCAGCAGGCAGCAAGCGCTCGTGTCCTCTGCTCACCGCATGGGATGGAGAACGTGGTCCTAGGAAGAAGTGTAAGATGGTGAAAGCGTGGGCGTCGTGTCACATCATTAAGATGCTTCTGGGTCCCCAAAACAAGTAAAAAGTGCATAAAAATTATCTAAGAAGAAGTACCACATGCAGATGTGAGTGGCTGAGGGCGTGCACTGCATGTGTACTTCGGAAAGGGAGAATCATGTCTGAGCTTTTCTTCTTACGTTGACCCTGTTAAAGGAGCACTTTCAGAGCAACGTTATGAGAAGAAACTGAAGAAGTCAATGGAATGCAAACACAGCTTTAGGAGGCCGGAATCAATTATTTACAATAGAGCTGTTCTTTTCAAATTTATCAATCAGACAAGAGAATTCCCAGAAGATTTAAGTAACTTTGCATTTTGAACATGTCATGGGATATTTGATGATTAACTATTAAGAGCCTGTATTACAGAAGCTAGGGAGATAGCTCAACAGTCTAAGCACCTGCCCTGCAAGTGAAAAGACCCAGGTTTGATTCCCAGTACCATGACACTGCAGTGCCAGAACCCCAGACACACGGCACTGGGCGGGGTGCTGCTTGACTGTAATCGCAGTGCTGCGGAGCCTGAGGTAGGAGGATCACTACACGTCCGAGGCAGCTGGCTAGTAAGACCCTGTGTTCAATAAATAGAAGATTAAAAAAAATTAAGCTTGAATTACAGCAGAGTTGAATGTTTCCTAATCAGTGGGAAAATATTTGAACCGAAGTAATATATCCATGAACACTGAACTAGAAAGAAATTTTGTTTTGACAAAGTAAATCAATTAAGGTGTGATTTCTTTAAAAAAAAATCTTTATTTATAGTTCAAGATCCTCCAGTTCCTATTAACTACTTCTTCAAACTATAATAATAATGATTATCATTGTTTGGTACCAGGAATTGAACTCAGGCCCTTGTGCTAGCCAGGTAGGTGCTTGTGCCACTGAGCTACATCTCTGGACCCCAATTATATATTTAGATAATCTCCTGGGACTTTTCTTGATGGTATTTATGTTTATACTTTCAAGGGATGTATCAGCAACATTAAAATTCTAAAAAAGGAGGTCTTGATAGATAGCTAAACACCAATTTTCTTTAATCATGTTGTATAATAGATGAATATTGAAGTGATTTTTAAAAATATATGAATTACTATAAGAGGTATACCAAAAATCTATTTTCAAGAGAAGAAAAAACAAATACCTCTGGGGTGGCCCCGCATCTGTAGTACAGAAAGGAGACGCTGCGGAACCCACAGCACCCACAGCTCGCGTCGGGTTGTCGGCGGCGCGCGTTAGGATGCACCGCCGCAGGACCCGCTCCGGCGGCCACACGCGCCTGCGCACCGCTGTGCACCGTGCTCACTAGCGCAAGCGCGAGCGGAAGCTTACCGGAATTTGTGCTGAAGATGACCGGAGAATCCGTGTCTTCTAAGACCAAAGTGAAGCGAGCTGTAAGGAAAGAGCACGTCCCGGTTGTGTGAGCGGTCCTTTTTACTTTATCAAGGAACTGCTTTAACTCCTATGTTGGCCTCGGCAAGAGGAAAAGCCCTCGGCCTCGAGTCGTTCTGGGGGCTCTTCTCGTTCTTCCCCTGGGTTAGGTCTAAGACACATCCGAGTATAGCTAAACTATTGGCATCAGCAATAGGAAATGGCCAGGTAACTTCCTAGCTTGCTCTTGTCGCATCCCTTGCTGGGAGGTCCCTCAGGCGAGCGTGTCTGCAGATGCTGATTCTGAGATAGGTCATGCCGTAGACCAACACAGAAGTGTTCTGAGGGAGGCCTCGCTGGGGGAGATCAGGCATCCAAGGTAAAGGTATCAGTATAGCAAATTTGTTTTAATGTCAAAGCGATATGTGTTTATCTGACACTCATTTAAATCGTTCCTTGGATATAAGATAGCTGGGCTTTTTGAAGTTGCATGGCCAATTATTAATGTAATACAATATATTGAATGTAATAAAATATCTGCTGGCTCCACCAAAAGGGAGTGCCTCGGGGGGCCGTTTGCACCCAGCCCTGGACATCAGGGTAGCCTGGGCTGGCGTGGAAGACCAGACCAGCTGCAAGGGTGGGGAGTGTACTCCGATTGTGCTGGGTCGCTTTCCACATATCAGGTAAAATAATGTTTGCAGTGCCCATGGAAGGTCACAACTTCTTGACTCAGGACAGTTCTGTTAACCAGATTTGACATCTTTAAAGTTGAACCACATTGTACAGCCTGAGAAACCTGCTGTTTTGAGAATCTTGCATTCTGAGCGTCTTAACTAACCATTCAAAACACAAGATATCGAAATGTTTAATAACTAAGATTTCTACATAAGGAATCAGCTACTTAGGATAGTTACATATTTCTGAATAAGTATCATGAAACCAGAAATTTCTAAGGTGATAGTAGCCCAAATATTTTTCTTTTAAGGTTTTGTTGCATCTCTATGAATGAGTGAATTGAATTAATGATGCTATTGGTCACGTCTCTGGAACAGCCTGTCTGTTTCTGTAAGACCACTCCATGTCACAAAGAAATTGAACTTCAGTGGGGAAAAAGGCTGAACTACAAAAAGTTTGGTCAAACCAAATCAGATGTTTGTCTTAGAAGCATTTTGTACGTTCTTTGAGCAACATGACCATTCCTTTTGCTGGTAATCAGAGAAGCATATTTAAATTTTGCATCTGAAACACGAACTTCTAAAACTACAAGGAATGCATGCCTGCATCTAGACTGGAGGTCGCTCCAAGTCGCTTTGGTCTTAGAAGAATGTAACGGCAGGCACTGTGCTGAATGCTCTGGGCATAGAGTCTACAAATCCAGCACTGTATTCTCCTAAATGAAATTTCCTGCATAGAGAGAGAGAGAGTCATTTGTCAAATAGTCAAACAAACAAAATATAAGTACATAGTGTTACGAGTACTTTGAGGGAAGGGAGGGCACACTGCAGAGCAGGTAATCAGGGATCTGGTTTAGGTGGTGGAGTCAGGGGAAGACGGTCTGACCACGTGGGCTTTAACGCTTTTTTGGGTTACCATGGGGAGTTATCTGGGTGAGAACTGTGGAGAAAAGCATCCCACGTGGAAAGAAGGGCATGTTCCACTTCCTGAGGTGGCTGGCAGTGGGACTCTGGGAGCAAAAATAGCTCTTATGGGGACAGATGTTGGCCAAAGTCTGCAGCTGTGCAGCATATTAGGACCTTTGATTTTGCTCTAACAGCCATGAGGAAATCACTCCAGGGCTCTTAGTCATTTAGTCATTTGAAATAACAATGATCATGGAGATGGAGGTTGATGAAATTTTAAGTAAACATTGAAAGGAGATAGGTTGGGCTGCAGAGGGGTAGGGAATAGGGAGTGAGAGAAGCCAAGGCTGAGGGCCTGATGGCCCCCAGGAACTGTGGGCCGAAGGACGTGCCACCTGCGAGACAAGGGTCAGAGGTGTTGGGGCTGTGAAGGCGGTACCCCTGCTTCAGTGTTTGCCAGCATCATTCCTTGTTACCCGACTCACATGGTGAATCACTGATTAGTTCAGTAAGTGCTTCTGTACAGAAAGAAGCAAGCAGTCAGTGCACTGTCATGGTTTGTTTCAAAGTCTGTCTGCTGTCCCAGGATGCGTTCCTCCAGTGCAAGGACTCTGTCTTGCTCCCCGTCTGTGATTTTCACAGTTTCTGGCTCAGGTTTCATCCTCAATATTTATTGGGTGGGTGGGTGGGTGGATGGAGGGGTGGATGGGTGGATGGATGGATGGATGGATGGATGGATGGATGGGTGTGTGGGTGGGTGGATGTGTGGGTGGATGGATGGATGGATGGATACCTTCTGTAAACTACTCCCATCGTGGTTCATGCTCATGTAAGTAATCAACAATTACATGTTAACAATCCTGATGTAGTCTATGTGGTTGAAGATGTGTGCTTTCTGCTCCAGGCAGCTGATTCTGGCTATTCCATTTCGCACAGGGACCTCGTTCTTTTGAAATTGTAGTTCTGGCCATGATTCCCTGGAAGTAGAGCAGTGATAAAATAGTCACAGGTGAAGATAGGAGCTATGAAAATATGTTTCAACTTTGTTGAGAGCTTCCTGAGCCAGAGCCAAAGTCAGGATGAGTGGCTGAGACCTCAAACAGCTATTTCCCGGAAATTACCACTTCAAAACAGAATGGCAGGCTGGCCTGATAGCTCAGTGAACTAAAGCGCCTGCTCAGGCAGACGCAGGGACCAGGGATCGATCCCCGGCTATGCCGTGCCAGTCCCACCCGGGAGTGCACTGAGATGGTGATTGAGACAGGAGGATCACTTTGAGTCCAATCTGTATAGTGAGACCCTGTGGACTCTGTAAACCCTGTAGACTCTGTAAACTGTGTCCTAAATACAGAAAGAAAGAGAGAACGGCATGAATGCTGTATAGGAGGTAAAAATGGCATGAAAAGAGGTCGTTACCTCTGTATTTGTGAGAGGGACTTACCTTGTTTACAATGTTTGTGAGAATTTTGAGGACTAGAAAGCCCTCTTTTAGAAGAGTCTAAGGTAAACTAAGAATATGAAATACTGTTTGTTACAAATAAAAGCATCAGAACCATTCTTATTATTGGGAAAAGAAAAAAGGCTTCAAGTTTATTGATGGCTGAGTGATGGCATACGTAACGTTGTTTGAGCGCTCAGAGTTCTACTTTTGTGTAAATGATATTTACCTTCGTTTTGCAACAGATGGAAAATTAAAAGTGAGGTAATCTGCCCAGCATTTCCATCGCATTCCGCTTGTCCTCAAAGCCAGAGCTTCTGCGCTTATGCCGGCTCCGAGCCTTTGCAGTATACACACCAGCGCAGGGGGCACAGCGCGGGAGCCGTGACCGGGGCCACCGCACAACTGCTCGCTAGCAGAAATCAAAAACGTGTTTGAGAGAAGTCGTTCGTTGGTGAGTTAAGATGAAAAGTAAAATGGAAGATAAATCTGTTATCTTGTAACAGGGAGGAATAACCCCTGAATATAGGTCAATAAGATACTGAGATTAAAAAAAAAAAAAAAAAAGATACTCCTCAATTTACGGTGGAGCTACATTCCAGCAGACTCCCTTCTGCTATATCACTAAGTTGAAGATCTGTTTAGTACTCTGAATGCGCTGTGCTGTCCAGCTTTCTCCTACTGTGACAAAATGCTAAGAGAGTCGAATTGGAGGACAGTTTAATTTTGGCTCATGGTTTCAGCTCTTTCAGGCTGTGTACTTTGTGGGTTTTGGGTTTTTTTTGTTTTGTTTTGGTTTGGTTTGGTTTTTTTTGTTTTGAGAGAGTCTAGAGGGTGTTCAGGGTCTCACTACTAGATCGGCCTCATAATGATCCGCCTGTTTACAGCCTCCCAAGAGCTGGGATTACAGGCGCGCCACCAAACCCAGTCTCAATCGCTGTCTCAGCACACTCTGGGGGTGGGGCTGGCACGGCAGGCCCGGGGATCGAACCCCCGGCCCCTGCGCTTGCTTGTAGGCGCTTTATTCTGTCAAGCTATTTGGCCGGCCCGGGCCCATTTCTCTGGACCCGTGATAGCACAGCACGCCACAGCGGTGGCACACAGCAGAGCACGCCTTCTCACCACAAGTTGACCAAAAGGCAAAATAAGCGACGGGAGCACCTGGAGTCCCAGTATCCCTCTCAAGTGCATGCTGCCATCGGGGACCCAACTCCCTTCTGCCAGGGTTCATCTGCTGGCTTCCCCTCCCCCAGCAGCACCTTGGGGGCAGGGGCAGGACACCAACCCAGTGACCTCTGGCTGACATTCAAGACGCAAGCCCCAGGCCTGCCAAGCGGCAGAGCTTATCAGGCAGTGCCCTGGAGGGCAGAGTTGCTTCATGCCCGTGTGCCTGACTGTGAACAGTGGCCCACTGCCACTGCCCAGCAGCCCAAGGGGGCATCTGCGTGCCACTCGTCCTGCGAAAGACTGAAATTCAAATGTGCATCCACTCTGCACCACCATAAAGCTGAAACGATGTAAACTGAACCGTGAGTCGGGGACCATGCACAATGAGAAAAGCTTAACAAACAGATCGAGAGATCCAATGCCTGACTAATAATGGTGTTAGAATAAATTATTAGGGCAGAAATAATCCTTAAAAACAATAAATACTTTTTCCTGATCTAAAGAAAATCAGAAGCCCTGTGACTGCACAAACCCTCCGTGTGCTGCATAAGACGAGTTTTTAAAGCTACGTACATTCCATTGAATTAGGGCCAATTTTAAGATAAGAAATAAAACCCTTCGGAAAATCATATGCCATCTACCAAGAAGTGAGAACCAGACTCATCAGAAGAAGCTAGACGCTAAGAGGAAGGTGACCTCTCAACATTCTGGGGGGAAAATAGTTCCGAGTCTGGATTTCAGTCACGGAAGTGCAGGCCGAATAAAGACATTCCTGCGTGAAGCACCTGAAAGCCCAGCTGCTCCACGAGACATGCTCCGTGAGAGTGACCACGTGGCACTGCAGCACCGTGCAAAACTACCTGGGGAAGAGAGAGGAGCCTTCGAGAAACACTCACAGCTGCACAAGACCCCAAGGTGGGAGGAGAAAGCCATTCAGAAAGTAAAAGAGCGCGCAAAGTTTGCTTTAAAATTTTTGATAATACCGGATTAGAGCTCCTTGACTATGCAGTCAAGCACCCCACTTGGTTCTTCGGGGCGCGCCACGGTGTGCTCGTGATGTCACGGCTGATTATCGGTCACCTGTGTTTAGAAGGGTCAGTCGACAGATGACGGCAGCCTGCACTGTTTTGCACAGCAGGATGAAATGCCACGATTCTCAACCTGCAAACATAATTCGTTCAAATAATTAGGAGACTTTTACCCGTCTTTACATTTTGTTATTTCTCTCACGATAAGCATTCTTTAAGTTCTTTTGGTTGTAAGACCTTCATCGAAATTGTGAATTTCCCTCTAAGCTCCTGCTGGTATGTAGCTAGCTTCCTGGCTGTGCTGTCTGTTGCTACATTAGGCGTCTCTAATGAGAGTCTAGGTCTCTGAAACCCTCCTTCCTTCTCAGATTAAATTTTAACCTCCTCAAAGCATTCGTTTTTAGCCCCAAACCCCACTAGCTGCTTTACTTTTAGTTTCTTCGACGCACATTTCTGAAACCCACTTGGATGTGCGCTTTCTTATTGATTGCTTGCCTTCCTTCCTCACTCTCTCGCATGAGCGACGTGAAAAGGCAGCTGTGGGCTTGGTCATGCTGCGCCTGTGCTGGTTCCGAAAAGATTCCCGAGTAGCAGGGAGAAGTTGCTGCATGCCATGACTTATCAGAGAGATGAAAACTAGAGCAGGAGTGAGATGCTCTGCACACTCAGGAGACACCATGTGAGGTGTGTGCATGCCGGCGGAGGAAGTCAGGGACATCTGTAACTCTCACACTGGTGTCGTAGGGATGTGAAACCACTAGGCAGGCTGGTAGTTCTTAGCGAAATGAAAGCGATTCTCATCTTTACAAAATAATTAGGAGCATGGGGAAGTTAGGCTGGAAAAATACATGTTGATTCTCCTACCTTTCATAGCTGCCAGCCTAAGCCGGGGTATAGCTCAGCGGCGTAAGTGCCTGCCTGGCAAGTGTAAGGTCCCAAGTTCAACCCCCAGTAATGCAAAAACCAAAACACAAAACGCCACTGCATAGCTGTCAGCCTGGAGTTGACAAATCAGGGAAAGAGGGTTCAGTGAATTGTTAAAATTGAAAATGGCTAACAAGTGAGAAGAGCAGACTCTGTGCCCGGTACTGCTCCCAGAAATGACGCCGGCAGTGTGTGGCGGGCGAGGGGCGTCCTTGCGCGTCTGCGGGTTTCTCTTCTTCGCTTTTAACTGCTCTGTGTCTTGTAAGCCCTCAGGTTTTAAGCTTCTCTTGTGCTACATTTAATGTGCTTAGAGTATGTACTGTTCATGAACAGACTCAAATTATTCCTCTGCTTGAAATACTAACATTTCTCCAATTTTGAGAGCAGTCTTTTTTCAATTCTGGGAAATTCTTTGGCATTATCATTTGCTATTTTGTCTGTCTAGCGTCACAATTCTGTCACATTAAAATGACCATTAGACCATGTTGGTCCCTCTTATCCTTTCCCTCCTGTCTGTGTATGTCTTCACATTTTCTTTTTTATCTCTTTGTGCTGTAACTCGGCTGATTTCCATAAGTATTTTAGTTTCATAACTCTTCCATTAGCAGGCTTTTCTTTGTTTCAATAAGTGGCGCTCCTCTTTCAGCTATTCTACAACGTAAACGTTTCTTCTTTTACAGTGTACTTATTCTAGGGTTGCTATTTTAATATTTTTGCTACACTAGTTTTATTTATTTATTTATTAGGTACAGGGTCTCGCTATGTAGTTCAGCCTCCCCAGCGCAGGGATTGCAGGCATGTGCCACCATGCCCGGATTCGGTGTCCTGCACACGCGCCTGGGGTTCCGGGGCGGGCACGACATGCGATATCAGGGACTGAATCCGGGTCCTTGCACTTGCCAAACAGGCACTTAGACTAGCGAGCCATCTCCCCAGCCCTGTCACACTAATTTAAACATCTCTCTTGGATTGCTTCGTTGCTCTGTCCTTTCTTCCCTGTTAACATTCACACGTGTGTGTTTTGCGATTGCGGGCTGTGAACCCCTCCCGAGAGGGGAGCGGACTCCACTGGAGTGCTGCCGGGCACCGCGCTGTGGACGTTCCCGAAGGCTGTCTTCGTCAGGCGATTTTGTGTGTTCTGGAGTAAGCATTTGTGATACTTTCTGGCTTAGGATTTTCTGACCAACGGGTGCTGCGTAGTTCAGACCCACTCCTTTTGAGACGGATCACGTTTCTCACAATGTTACTGCTGAACTATAATTGAATGGTTATAATACTAAAAATTTCAGAAGAAAGTAGATGAACAACGTAGATTCATGACTTCTTAACAAACAGGCAGGTAATCCACCTCTTCACATTCTACAGTGGAGGGAAGAAGTGAGGTCTGGCAAAGTTAGATGACTTGTTCTGAGATTCAGCAAATTAAAGCAGAGCCTAAAACTGGTGTCTTCGTCATGAAAATGCATCTTAACTTGATGTCACTAGTGGCTGGCGCAGACCCGAAGGCAGACCTGCGCTTCCTGTTGTCACTACTAACTTTGGCTTCAGGGTGTCCGTACTTAGGAGGTGGCTTCCTAGTCTCCGACTCGACCCTGCGTTGCATACGATCAAGCATGTCAGTGCTTTCGTTCTCCCGCGCGCGAGTCAGTGAAGACAGTAACCTTCTTCCTAGTTATCGCTTGCGGAGACACTTAGCGGATCTTCTCCCACCAACAGCTCTCGTCCGTCTCCCTTCTTTTAAGTCAGCTCACAAATAGGAGTCCCTGTGATGGCAGCGGCCACATCTGCAGGGCCTCTTGCTCCCACAGCGACTGGCCGAGCACCTGCCGAGCTCGTTCCGCGTACACACCTTATACAATACCAACTGGGTCGGCAGCGGCTAGTAATTTTTTATCTTCTTTTCTATCTTTTTTTAAAATTTTTTTGTACTGGGTCAAAGAAACATTCACTGCCTATTTCCATAAAATTTTCAGGAGTTTGTTTCCTCTCTACAATTTACAGAAAGCATACGCCAAGTATGTGATTTATATTCATTTATTTAATTTAAAGAAAATTATAATGACTTAGCTGTGCTCTGTTTGCAGGACAGAGTGTTCTGAACATCCTCACGGGGTGGCCGAGCCTGAGGCCGAAGGCACAGTGTGTTATTTACACTGAAGGAGTGCGTGTGTGGACAAGAAAGCGCTGACGGGTCAAATGGATCCCGTGGAGCTGAGAAGTGTCAACACCGAGCCCGACGGGGAGAGCAGCAGTGGAGAAAGCGTGCAGGACAGCTTCTCGGGGCTGGGGAACTCGGAGAAGGCGGCCATGAGCAGGTAGGGGCCTGGAGACCACCAGGTTCTGTAGGAAAGCCCGTGCATGCGGAAAGCAAGGGCTTGCTGCTTTTTAACCGATAACTTAGAGACAGCAGTGAGGTTGGCGTGTCAGTTTCCTGATGCGGAAGCGCAGTCATGATGTCAGGCTTTCCTGTGACTACGCTGAAATCGAGGTGACAGCACCGCGGTGTCGCCATCCAGCAGCCACCTCAGTCATGGCAGCTCAGCGCTCCTCTTGCTTTTGACTTCTTCCTTCTTGGATTCCTCTCCCCTCGGCTGCTTCTTCGACGCTGCCACATCTCCAGGCATCTGCCGTGATTCCTTTCACTGTACAGGCGTCGCCTGAGCGAGCTCACTCGGAACTGTCACGGGGTCACCACAGATGTGCTCTGTCCTCTGCCTGTAAGACTTCTCGACTGAGTTTTAGGTCACAAGTTCCAATTTTCTAGGACACTGCTTCTCTGACAGCTAGTGTGTCCAAATCACCTCATTTCTAAAGTCAGACTTACAGCATCTGATTCTGAGTTCCTGTCATTCTTTTCAAACCAGCTCTTCCGCTAGTATCTCCGTCCTGATAAAAAGCATCTGTTCATTCAGCAGCACAACTAAAGTACGTGTCCTTCCCCTGCCCATGCAGCCAAGGCCCCTTGTCCCTTTGGCTCTAGAGTATTAGTATTTGAAGCCGTCTCCTTATTTTCCATTCCACTGCCATCTTCTGTCAGATCTCTGTCCTCTCAGCCCTAACTTGGCTCCCTCTCTTACAACTTGCTCTCTTCTGCCTAATCCTGCACTCTTAGAAGACTAATCTTTCATCACTGCAAATTCTATCCTGCCCCATCCTTGAACAAAATCTTGCCACAACTCCACTTCAGCTGTTATGCGTAGATTAAACTAGACCCTACTAGTCACATAAGCATCTTCTTGTCCTGATCCTCCTTCTCATACTTCCCGCCTTCACTCCCACTGCCCCGCCCACCCGGAGGCACCATGGTTTCCTGCCTTGTCTGGCTCAGTACCTCGCGCCTTTTAAGAGTCTGCCCAACGTCAAGCCTCCTAGGAAGGCATCTGCCGGTGCCTCTGCATCCCCAGGTGGAGATGACCGCTGCCCTTTTGTGCATCCTCTCCCTGTCCAGGTGTTAGTCACATCAGTACCACAGGTCAGTGGCCCCTGCCCCTACCACCTATCACACATCATGTTTGCCTGATGTGTAGCAGGTGGACTGTAGTTATTTGATAAGTAATTTAATTTCCCACAAAACATTATAAGTACAAATTATGCACAGTAAAAGATGCTCAAAAAGAGATTTTTTTTTTAAATTTAGTACAGGGTCTACAAAGTCTCACTACAGCTCACCGGGGCCAGCACAGAACTCTGGGGATCGAACCCCTGTCCCTGCATCTGCCTAAGCAGGTGCTTTAATTCATTGAGCTGTTTGGCCATCCCAGAAAGGAATTTTTGACTGCTATAAGATAAAAACAAATCGTACACAATTAAAGATGCTTAGAAGGAGGTTTTGACCAAAGCTAGGCCCAGAGTACAGAGTATTATCCTCACAAAGGGGCCTTGTCCTCCATTCACGCCATCTAGATGGGCGAGCTGGAGGAGGCACTTGTCCTCTCAGTAGTTCTGTGCAGTGAGCAGGGAGGCTGCTGAGGACACTGAGCTGCGCTCCTGGTGGCTTCAGTACTGGGTGACTGTTAAGAAGACAGGGCACTGGAGTCTGCAGCGTGGCTGCCTCACTTTGGCAAACGCGTGTTTTGAGCGTCGGTGCAAAATGCAAAACGGCAAGCCAGCGTCTACCTCTGTAAGGATTAACTAAGCAGGGAAACACAGAAGAGACACAGCATGCTCCTGTTGCTTCTCCCTGTAGCAGCACCTCTGATAAATTGATCTAAGCTCTGGTGTCTTCCGACTCAGAAAGAAATGCATGCAAACGTGAATTCTGCAGAGGCTGGCTGGACTGACTGGGACGCTGTCTCAAGAATAGTCCTCGAGCGATTGTATTAGGCCTCAAAAGCTACAATGGAAGAGGCTGTGTAGCGCCTTCTGGGCCGCTCAGTGTGATTTGTCTTCTAGTTCCTCGCTCAAACATGGGTCATCACTGTGCAATTTTATAATCACTTTTGAAAGATAATCTTTATTTTTGTTTGCTTTGGAATGAACTTAAAGTGTAATTTTTTGGAGAAATTTAGTATACTGCATGTATTTGGAATAACTTTATATTTCCAATACATTCTGGGTTTGGTACCTAAATATTTAACATATGAGGGTGCTCTTCATGTATTTCATGCAATCTTGGATGGTTTTAGGGCTATAACTCTCTTATGCTGGAATAAAAGCATGCAAATACCTTACAAAAAAGGATGATCTGTCATGCCCCATGAATTCACTTTCAAATTCAAAAATTTTTTAAAAATCACTTAAGGAGTAAAAATTTTAGTTTATTGATTACAGTGAAAAATAGTGTTGGCCATTCCTGAGTTTAAATTCCTCTTCTAAGTTACAGGTCTATTTTTATAGTCCTTAGTCCTGTTTCATCCAGCCATCTCAGTTTCCAGCTTTGAACATTGTGTACTAAGTCCTCACAGAGCAAGGGTGTTAACTGCACGCTACTAATGTGGATCACAAAAAGCTTTGGGGAAAGGGTGGAAACAGAAGAGGCCAGCATGCAGGGCATTCACGTCCTCTGAGAGCAGGGTGAGAAGGCTAGAAATGGTCCCGTGCGTGCAGCGCTCGGACCCCGAGGGGCCTAGAAGGGCACTTCAAGCCTTGTGGTTTCACCCGCTCTTTCCACCTACACCTCCTATTGCCGTCTACTCTCAATGATTAATCCCTCTTTCTCCCCAGTTTATTTTTAGGATTAACTCCTATTAACATATGCAGATTTTAATAATTCTTTTCACTTTATTTTTATTGGTTTTTTTTCAAAGGAGGCTCTTTATTTTACTGTTTAATGCACAAAACACCCTAAAAAGTGTAATTCATCTAATTACAAAGCACTTTGAAGAAACCTCTGTTGCTGAGCATTTTGTGCAGTAGCAGGAAAGAAGGCTGTGTGGCATCTTAGTGGGTAAAAGTGTGACGTTGTTGGGTGGCCTGATTTGTCAAGCGTTTTGGAACTGTGAGTGTCCCTCAGTCCAGCCTGCAGGTCCCTCGCAGGCAACTGCAGGAGCTGGACAACAGGACGGGGGCAGCATCAGGACAGTGTACTCATCTTCTAGCCCATCCAAGGAGACAACCAATGCAATTTTACGTGGATGGTGACAGTTTAAAGTTCCATTCTTTCTTAAGCCCTTTACCAACTCTTAGGATTTCTTGAGTAATTTTCTTAGTTTAATGCAGCATCTAATAACTCATGGATGTTTTCAGAGTAATTAACACATGCGTGTGCGCTCGCACACGCACACACACACACACACACACACACCAAACATAACACAAAGCTACCAGCGAACAGTTTTCCTCTAAGGAATACCTGTATAAGCAGTGAGAGCCAGCAAAGAGGCCCCTCCCTGGACTGGCTCGTGCTGGGGGGCCGTGGCCTGGGAGCCCGGTGGGTGCGGGCAGGGCCGTGGCCTGGGAGCCCGGTGGGTGCGGGCAGGGCCGTGGCCTGGGAGCCCGGTGGGT